ACTTTTGTATCAAAAGCAAGGGACTGCCATATAGACGTGACCAAGCTGGAGTGAGTTAGAACTCAGGGAAATGCCTCTATGGACTGACCCCACCACGCTATTATCTGGAAAGACAGCAGGGCTTGAAGATTTTGGAAGGTCTGAAGGACCAAACTTATTTCAGCTTTTTTTTTTTTTGAGACAATACAGGAAGAATCAAGGGGTGATTGATTCCTTCTGAATCTTAGTAAGGAAAACCACAGTCTAATGCATCCTTTTTTCCTCCCTTTTAAAGCCACGTTGTAATCTACCCACATATTTACACCAGAGGAAGGCCACTGATGTGGGAAAGTCAGATATAATATAGCAATGTAACTGTGAAATAAAAAAAGTAAAGATTTTACTTATAATGCAAACTCCTTATATTGATATGGGCAATCGATGAGTAGGCATTTGAAAGCATTGTGAAAAAATGCTGAGCTGGGTTTACATTCTACTTTCACCCATTTATCAGCCGTGTAATTTTGGGCAATCACTGAACCTCTCTGAGCCTTCTCTTATCTCAGTGATGAGGCTAGAAATGCTTACTTTACAGGGCTGTGGGAAAGATTAAATGGGCATAAGCACTTAGCACAATGTCCAGTGCTTAATAATAATAATAGCTGTAATATCCTTATCTCCCAACGGCTCCCGGGCTGCCAGAGGGATGTCTGACTGCCAGATTAGGCCCGATCCCCTAGGGAGCGGGCCTAAGCCAGCAGGTGGATGTCCCCTGAGGAATCCCAGACTGCGAGAGGGCACAGGCCGGGCTGAGGGACCCCCCTGAGTGCACAAATTTTTGTGCACCGGGCCTCTAGTGAAATATAATAGTATATATCATTTCTGGAATGCCACCTCTTTTTAGTCTTCACAGCAAGCCTATGGGATAAGTAATCTCTCCATTTGATAACTGATTGGAACTGACTGAGCCTCAGAAAAGTTAAGAAGATTTGGTCAGTGTCACTCAGATCCCAAGAGTGGACGAAGAAATTAAAATCTAGATTTGATTGGCCCCAGAAGACCGCTCGCTCTTTTGCCCTGGGCTGTGAAAAATGTCCTTTGATTTGAATAGGGAAAAGGATCAATGTTTTACAATTGATCATATGATGGATCAAAAATGCTTTTTGCCAGCTTCTCAAACCCTTTGCTCTGAGATTTCAAAGTTACAGAATAGTGGTAGAAAACTAATTATTTCTCTTGGACCTTTGATATGTGCTGTGTTCAAACTGAACTTATAAGAACAAGGTATCTTTTTTCTTCAAAATAAATCTATATTGTTTTTTCTTATTTCTTTTCATCTTTATTGTTTTTAACCGCCTTTTCCTTTCCAGGAAAGCCTCTGACACTTTTTTGATTTGTTTTCTTTTAGCCAGATCTTAGAGCACATGTTTTCTTCTTAAAAATTAACACTTTATTTTTTAGAGCAGTTTAGATTCATAGAAAAGTTCATCAGAAAGTAGAGAGGGCTCCCTTATATCCCCTCTCCCTGCCCCCACCCCCAATTTATCCAATTGTTAACATGTTGCATTTGTGTGGTATATTTCTTATAACTGATGAATAAATATTGTTATATTATTATGATGATTAAAGGTTTCACTCTTTGTGCTGTACAGCTCTATGGGTTTTAGGAAATAAATGTATAATGTCATGCATCCACCATTACAATCGCATACAGAATAGTTTTGCTGAAGCCCATATTTAAAATTTTTGCTTTCAATTACAGTTTATATTCCATATTATTTTGTGTCAGTTTCGGGTGTACAGCTTAGTGGTCGAACAATGATAGACTTTACAAAGTGTTCCCCTGATATTTCCAGTACCACCTGGCCCCAAACGTAGTTATTACAATACTATTGACAATATTCCCTCGGCTGTACTTTACATCCCCATGCCTATTTTGTAACTGCCAATCTGTACTGATTAATCCATCTTTTTCATCTAGGCCCAAACTCCTGATGACTTTCTCCAGTTGTAGAGACCTTTGCCAACTTTGAGTCATATTAAAGTTGAGTCATATCGTCCTTCCACCACCACTGTGTCTTTCCATGTGTTTTTTCTCTGTTACTATGTCCCACCCCTTTCCAAACTTGTACTCATTGTGTGTGTCTAAGTTAATACCATTTTGTATGTGACTAAATCCCTCTTGTACTCCAGGTCTGAATTCAAAGGCCACCTTCTCAGACATACCTTCTCTATCTGCATAATCTAGGAAGGTCCTAATTTTGTCTTCTTCATCAAAGTATACTGATTCCTTTGTAGCCCTAATTGTAATTTGGGACTCATTTAAAAATGTATGTGCTTAATAGATTTCCTTCTTTCTGGCTAGGCTGTAAGTCCCGGAGGGCAGGGGCTGTGTCAGGTTAGCTCAGTTCTGTATATAGCACAGCACTGAGCACATAGTATTTGCTCAATAAATATTTACTAATGTGTGGCAGGACAGTTTTGCTTTTGCTTTCCTTTCTCCCCACCTCTGAGGTTCCAGCAGTAAGACACTTGACCAAGGAAATAGCAACTTAACTCATGGAATAGTAAAGAGACCAAGACTCATTTGGCATAGTAAGTCATTCGAAGTCATGCTGAAAAACCATCAGTCTTAGCATTGGGGAAGTTCTGATGGTTTTGTCGGTGCTTGGCCATGAAGCCAGATAGGGATGGGAACTTTCCTTTAACTTCTCTTCCTCCTGTGGAGATTCCATATCCAGTTCTTCCTCCTTCAGGGAATAAAAC